AGCATAATTTTAATGTTAATATTGTAATTTAGTCCGTAATGAATTTTCAAGAATCAGAAAAATATTCTTTCTTTCAGTTTATATAAACATATTTTTTGTAATAATTGAGACTCCAGGATAACTTTTATATCTGTCTTTATATAACTGTACATATATCATATGGTCCAAAATAACCTCGTGTACTGAATCATGGAATTAATTTCTTAATGAATTGTGGTGGCAGTTACTGTTGTTATTATTATTTAAAGAAATTCCACGGGCTACTAGAGGAGTTTTTTTGATCATATCAATATAAGTACAGATCAACGCGTACTGTTTGAGAATTTTCTGGGGCTGCTATTGTCAAACCTAATTTAAATGTTTGGCACTATGCGCTCAAGAAAGTTTGATTATGAAATTTTTATAATAAAAAAAATTGATCTAAATTAAATGTCAATATGAACCAATTTCAATCAAAATTCATTGATATCAACTGAAAGAGTTGATCACGTGTACATTGCATTGTCATTATTTGTCATCATGTTTAGGAATATAATAAATTAATTGTATTAAAACATATAATTTCAACAATATTTTAATGTAAATTGTTAAATTAAACAAAAGACAATGAAATATAAAATTAGTTCGTTGGTAGGAAACCATTCCGAATTATTACAACTGAATTAGAGACGTTGCTGTACTTACAACAGTCTTAACGAAAACGTCACCTTAGAACTGGTTTGCCGCATATCCAGATCGCGTCCGAGGGATTTTCGCCTCTACTGTTTGGTGCAGATTTGCCGCATGTCGCACTTGGGCGAAGCGAAACATAGTTTAGATTCAGTGCTGATTTGCCGCATGTCCAAGCAGAAATCGATACAGTACCGTTATCCGTTTTTACGTACTTCCTTGCTGTTTTGCTTTTCAGCGTTAGGTTTGGGGTTGGGAAAGAAATCGTATTCAACTTCACGCGCAGAACAATAAGGATAATGTGAAATAAATAAAAAAGAGACTTAACAATTTTGATGAATCTGAAATTAAAAAAAAGCAACTGTAATTTGTGCAACTCTTTTTCTGTTGTTATAGATGTTACAAATATTTTCAAATTATTAGATTCGAAATTTTACAAATTTAAATTTCAAATAGATTTGTTGTTCGATAAACAAATAATTTAATTTTTTACTAAACAGTAACATTTTTCTTTAATTTTTTCTCGGGAATGATTGAACTTATTTTCTCTAAAGTTTTAGTGAACAAGATTTATAACGCTGGATACCAGTAAAAGAGTTCACAATTTTTTGTAGTATTCTTATTTGTAGAAACAATATTTCTACATCAATAATCACAAATAATAGATACATTTTTAATTTTTTAAATTAAATAATAATAAATATATTAAATTAATAAAAGTAATATGAAAATTAAAATTTCGAAACAAAATCTGTTTAGGTGGATTTTGCTTCGAAATTTATTACTGGAACGTTTACAAAAATCAGCTTTTGACATAAAATGCTTGCAAATTTGAAACAGAATTGGAATGTTTCTTGACAATCATGCCTAATACATTTTTGACTTGTATCTTTTAAAAAGAATTATTTCCGAATTTATAGCTATTTACAATTTACGACTTACTTCAAGAACAAATTCCGTATTAGAATTTTACCTATAATAACTAAATAGATGTATGTTGTTAACTTATATAAGGTACCTTACATCGAAACGAGTAATTTGTTTTTTAATATGACATTGCCTTTCTTTATCATTCTGTTTGTCTAACAATTATTGTTGTGCAATTATAAGCGTGTAAATAAAAATAGCTTTACAATAACTTATTTATGGGTAACTTTTTTTTCCAATTAATTTAAGTGGATGGTTATATGTAATGGTAATAATAGCCCCATAAAATTCAATCACTGTTTAGGTATACCAGATATCAAAAGCTATTAAATCCAAATGTTATTGTTTATTTTTTTTATGTCTCGAGCGCAAGCTAAGGAAGTATTGTAATCAGGTTCATCGGGCGACTGACTACTTTTATGGCTTCTCAACGTTTCATGACTCCTATAATACGAAAACATAGGTCTCTCGTTTCCGGTTGATAAAACACTGACCAACATTTGTAATCATCCTCCCCATCATATAACGTCATCTCCAACTTTTACAGCAATAAATGTTATATAAATTTTAAAAAATAACATACTTTTTCATTTGTTGTTTATTGAGATTTTACCCTAAGCATCCAGATTGAATTGAATTACCATAACCCTAATTTCTTGAGATTTTGGAAACAGGATATACTACATACATAAAGAAAGTTAAAAGAATTTGAAGTAATGTAATGATACTCTTTTTACATCAACATACTATTATTTATCAATTAATTGGGCATCGTCCAAAATACTGTTCATAAATTATAAGTGCAGGAAGTTTATGCAAAAACATGCAAATACATTTTTTGCGTATAATAATATGTATTGCTTTATTACTAAATATCTACTCATTTATAAGAATTATTAAAATTAGTAAAAAAAAGTATTCAAGTCTCTGTCTAGTTTAATACCTTACCTTATTAAAATAATAAGTTTAATCAATTATGTAGTTAGCAAACAATGACGTTTAATTTATACTTAGTAGGGTTCACGGCATTAACTTTTCACATTGCATGTTTAATTCGGAGTTATAATTTGAGAATATAATTTACCCGTTTATTTATTTTTGTAGTTTAGTAGTACTTCAGCAAATTTAGAAAACTGTATGCTATTTAAAAATACGTGACAAATCACGAGGCCAGGCAATCTAAAGATCTGACTGTTGGTTTGCGCGGGAAATACTGTATACTTTTTAGATAAAAGGAGTCTATGATAAGCGCACGTAGAAGATGATAGACAGAGAGCTAATATTTAGAGCTAATGTATTGGAAAGAAATAGGACAAGTTTACGTGCGCACACCACAGCCTCCCTTTCTTCTCTAAACAGTTTGGGATCATACCATAGTATCATAAATAATAATTGACAAAGAGTTCGCAAAGGAATCCAACGGAAATATTTATACAATTGTTTACAACTACCAGTACAAATAATTCTTTCATTTTCAACTGAAAAGCGTATAACTATATTAAGTACTAGATATTATGGAGTTAGGGGTAATCAAATAGATTTGGGTTGCAGTCAACATAATTGTCACTGATACATAAGACATGGAAACGAATGATTTATTTCCAAATCCAAATATACTGCATTTACAGTTTTAAACAGTATCACTGCTAATTTTCTCTGGTTGCCCGACAATAGCTACTTGTAGTCAATATCCACGTAATGTAATAAAATACTGGAATCTAATTGTTTGAGACAACAACCTATTTTTACCCGAGTGTTCTTTATCAGTTTGAATATTTTATATAAAAAAATTACATATTAAGCTGCAATTTTAGTAGGACTGCAGCGAGTCAACGAGCCGCCTTTACTCCGCCAATGCAAAGAAAATATAATTTTATTATCCTTTGTAAAAATAATTCCTTTCTGTAAAACACATTTAAATTTGGTACTCCGTATTTCGTTCACAATTCACCATTTAACAATGGAAATTAACAATGCAATATTTGGATTCTACAGTTTTTAGGATAAATGAATGACTGCAATGAGTTTTATCAAATGTAGATTTTATATAAAAATAAAGAAAAATAAGTCTCTTTATTTTAAAAATATTTAGAAAAAATCGAATCAAAACATTAATAACTTAACAGTCATTGTTCGTTATACTCAGTTAACTACTTCACCACGAGATTTCTAATATCGTTTCAATTTTTCATTTATTTCACATTATGAGTCCTTGCCGTATTACTTGTTCTTAATCTTAATCTTAATTATCTCTGAAAAATGTATCTATTATTATCTGTAATTATTGATGTGGAAATATCATTTCCACAAATACGAATACAGGTATGCAGCATTATGAATTTTGTTGACTAAAATTTTAGAGAAAATAAGTTCAATCATTTCCGAGAAATCATTAAATAAAAATGTTACTGTTAAGTAAAAAATTAAATTATTTGTTTAACGAGCAACAAATCTATTTGAAATTTAAATTTGTAAAATTTCGAATCTAATAATTTGAAACTCAATCTTTCTTAAAAAAAAAATCGAAAATATTTGTAACATCTATAACAACAGAAAAAGAGTTGCACAAATTACAGTTGTTTTTTTTTAATTTCAGATTCATCAAAATTGTTAAGTCTCTTTTTTATTTATTTCACATTATTCTTATTGTTCTGCGCGTGAAGTTGAATACGATTTCTTTCCCAACCCCAAACCTAACGCTGAAAAGCAAAACAGCAAGGAAGTACGTAAAAACGGATAACGGTACTGTATCGATTTCTGCTTGGACATGCGGCAAATCAGCACTGAATCTAAACTATGTTTCGCTTCGCCCAAGTGCGACATGCGGCAAATCTGCACTAAACAGTAGAGGCGAAAATCCCTCGGACGCGATCTGGATATGCGGCAAACCAGTTCTAAGGTGACGAAAACAGTTTAATTCATGCTTCTCAATTAATAGTAGTGATTGTTTTGAAGACGTTTTAATTTTGTTTCGTTTAGGTGGGAAAAAACAAAAACATTCATCTTGAGATTTATTACACGCTAAAATTTTCTATTTTTCAGTAAACTTGCATTTTAAAACTGAAATTTGATTTCTCGTCAAGAACAGATGTGACAGAATTCTCAGATAAAACGACTCGTCGCTTTATCAAGGACAATTTGTCTCGTCTAGTTACAAAGCAATCAAATTGTCTTAAAAAAAATGCAAGTTTATTCCTACAAAGACAAAGCTCTCAAGCTCCCATGTAATCACCTTCTGGAAATAATCTCGTTGATGCTTGACAAAATCAATAAAATGAAAACAACGCAGTTAATGAATTTTTACAATTAACTATTCAGGTGTATAACTTATTTAACTGAATTACCTACAATTATTTCTAAGATTATGGTAAAGTTTGTTAGATAGTTTTTGAAAAAATACTTACCTGCGACTTGCAGCGTTAGACTGTTGGTGATGCCGCGAGGGGTGGCACAAGTGAACGTACCAGAGTCTTGGGGTTTCACATAATAAATCGATAATCTATACTTCCAATCACGCTCTTCCGATGCTATTGCCCAACCTGGAACAATTTGTTTGCTTCGATAAGTCTCTGACGAATTTACCTTGTGCTTCAAGACAACTCGAGCCGCAGGACTGTGATTGAAAGCGTCGTTCTCCGGAGATGTAATCGCGTCTTTTGTTACTTACTCAAGAAAAATAACTCAATAATTCTGTTCCGCTGGATAATTAATAAAAACTTAACTAACGTGTCATCTCCAATGTCGCGCGTCACAAAGCGCTACAGAATTTTAATAAAAGTGAGCTATCGCTCATTATCATAGTCTGTTTATGGCGTGACCAACTATTAATTATCTTTTGAAGTGAAAGACTATTGAAAAATTAAATAAAAATATTTTGTGATGCTTAATTTAACTTTGACTGGGAAAGTTTTCTAAAGAATTTAATATGCTGCAGTTTTTCTCTTGAATTTTCATTAGCTGTCAGCAGAGCTGTTCAGTACTTCAAGTAAAAGTACTTGAAGTAATACTTCAAGTACTTTAAGTACTTCAAGTACTTTACTTGAAGTACTTTTATATTTAGGTACTTGGTACTTGGTACTTGGAGTATTTCTAAAATGTACTTGAGTTTAGTACTTGATTTTGCCAAGTACTTTACTCCAAGTACTTCACTCAGTATTTTAAATACTCTTGAATTACTTGAAGTATGGAAGTGGAAATTTCAAATACTTTAGTCTCTATTTTACGAAGTTTTCACATCTCAAAATAGGGTCTGTTAAATACTTGAAGTTATTAATTCAATTATTTGATTAGATGTATTTTTAGAGTAAAATCGTGTTTGTTTCCTGTGAGGTTATATTTTGATCTGTGATTGTGGATATCTTATCCACAATAAGACATACATTTCATAGGTACTTGCATAATGGCGATAGATAGGTAGGTAAGAAAATTAATGTCATAAATATGTCATTTGAGAGTGGATGACGACAGCAGAAGGGTCGGAGATCTGTGTAAAATTTTCAGCGATGTAAAGTTGTGAATATATGAATTTTGTCTTTTTTGTATTTTGGTCTGGAACTTAACTTTGCGGGTAGTTTTTCAGTACCTTCCCGGTACCCCAAAGGGAATCGGGTTTGTTGACGACCCTGCTAAAGTGCAAAAGATTTGAAAATATTTGAGAAATGATTCAGTACTCGTTCAAAAAGATATTTATTCTTTCATTAGTTTCTTAACCCCGCCGTGTATTTGTCAGTAAGAAGCCTGGTCAGGGCGGAGAATTCGGCAGGGGATTATCCCTTTTATTACAATAGCAATAGCTGATGGCAGGTACAGACTTTCATATTCGCCTCTTCCTCGTAGAATTTAAACACAATTTTATGTTAAATATTTTGCAGTTTAATTTTCTTTATCATGTTAGACACTCGTTTTTTACCAAATTTTCTTTTTTTGTTTATACATGGTTCAGCTATATAAACTTAGTTTGTTATTACTACTTATATTTTTTCACATTACAGTTTCAAATAATCTGTTAAATTGTATGAATTATTTGAACACCAACAATTTAAAAAGACGTAATGCAGAAAAATAACGATTTTAAAAGTCACACTAATTAGTGTCATTTATCTTTCCTGTGCGGATTTTTGAGTTTTGTGAAATTCGGCTCGTAGTACCAATGTTTTTTGTAATCCAGTTGATACGACCATGATTGTATGGTTTTGATGAGTACCGAATTGTACTTTGATATTGCTCGAAGGACCTTTGTTTTGTTGTGTGCGAAATAATAGACAGCCTTCGGTTTCGATATTTAAATACAGGACGGTTAGAGAAGTACTGAATTTACATTTGTATTTACAATATCAGGTAAAGATACCCAAAAGGGTCAGTGGCCGCTTCCGTAAATGGAACAAAATACATATTCACATTATAAAAAAATACAAAGTTAATGAAATTCGCGATTAGTTAGTATAATTGCCTAGATAAATACACCCCTACGAAATATTATTTTAACAATAATAAGTTTAGTACATATTTACCTGAATTTTCGCAAAAGCCGTTGTTAGGCATTCCCTGAAGTCATTGTAGTTATCAGTTACTAATGTCATCTTCTTTGGGTTTTCAGGTAAAAATAAAAAATAAGCCAATCGAAAATGTAAAGGAAAATTTTGAAAGTACATATTGTGGTATTAGAGGAACAAAATTTTGTATAAATGGACGGAACAGCATTACGAACCTATTATTTGTGATTTGTCAGTGTAAAGTTACGTACTTAGTTCTTAGACAAACATTGTAGTGATTAGTGTTTACTATTTAGTCACTGTAGTAGTTGGGTTAATTTAATAATTTTTAGAATAGTAAATACGTACCTAAGTGGTAGACAGATATATTCAGGAATATGGGGCATTCATTCCAAGAAAATTCTCAGCATTTTTGGTAACCGCAAAAGTAAAAAACGACTAATTACTTTGGTCACCTTGATATTTTTCAAGAGTTATAATTTTCGCTGAAAATGGACTCTCGTTTTAGGCATTTTATTTTTTATTTAAAAAATTCATACGTTTTTTTTGAAAATGCAACATAGTGACTTAAACATTTTTATGTCACGAGCATGTATATGTATCGCACTGCTCTTAAAATTTTTTTCTGAAAAATTTCAGTTTCACAAATCCGGCCCTGTGCACTTTCACAATGGGTAATGATTAAGGGTGCTGTAAACTACCCACAAACTTAAACACGGAACCGGTTCATAAAATTCACATATTTTTAACACAACTTTATTAAAAAATCACAACGTTTTGGTGGTGAACCAAAATTCAAAATATTAAAAAAAGGCAACAGAAGCCTGAGAAAATACCATACAGCGCCGATGTTTTTGTTATAAATTAATAGTAAGCATACATAGACAACGCCGTCATGTATTTTATTTTAAATTTTAAATTAGAAATAGACGTTAATTTTGTCGAAGGCATTGTGTCAACAGAAAGATGTAAAAGTATTTCAAAAGAATATTGTTTATAAATAACATAGTATTATTAATAAGTGAGCTACCATTCTGCATTTAAGTTGATGCTTATGCAATTTTTTATGTGGCGAAATATGTATTATTGTATACTTAAATTCTGAATATTAAAAAATTCAGTTCTAAAATATACTAAGCTTTTTTAAAAAAAACAGGAAAAGTTATCTAATTCTACAGTATTTCAAATAATTAGAAAGTACTTGAACCATTTTCAGTACTTCAGGTATTTGTAAGTACTTGAAGTATACCTCCAGTACTTCAAGTACTCGTAAGTACTTGAAGTAATGTACTTGGCTTGTACTTCAAGTACATCTGAAAAGTACTTGATACTTGAAATACTCTTGCTGAAAGTAAGTACTTGGTACTTTACTTAAACACTATTTCAAGTAGTACTTTGTACTTGGTACTTCAAGTACTTTTTTTGAGTACTTTGAACAGCTCTGGCTGTCAGACACATTTGTTATTTGGTTTTGTTCGCTGTACGAAGTTGCAAAAAGTGTGGTATGTTTAAGTAACAAGTTGTGAGAAGGTGCCTATACAGATACCTACAGAAAATAAGTTCACAACGACGAATAAATTTTATAAAAGCACAATAGGTACAAGATACAATATAAGAATAATTTGGATTTTTTTTTATTCACGCTGTAGTTTTAAGTGAACTAAATGAACGGACGTTTTTAATTATTGATGAAAGTAAGGAGTTAAATTAGGGCAAAATTGGTTTTTGCACAAAACTTTGTTTAATTGTCCCATTTCACATACTAAAACGTAGAAACAAAAATATAAATATTAAAATTCTCTACAAAAAAGTTTCTAACAAGTTTTGTTATAAGACGCCTCCTGGTGCTTCACAAATGTAAAAGAATAAAAAGTTTAACATTTTATTAAAATACATGCTTTAGGCTTGACGCAGATGTGTGTTTAAATTGTTTAAATTTTGTGTGCAAGTTAGATGAAGTACTAGTATATACGAAGATTGCTCTTCATAATTTACACAGGGTGAAGAAATTTAATATTTTAATCCATACGTATGAACAACCAAATATAGAGAAATAAAATAATCTCTCTCACTGTGTTCTGTACCGCAAGTAAATATTAAATATTATATCGGGCGAGCAACATAATATGTACTCGAGTTATCCTTGGAAAGGATTTAGAATGTCGCTGATTAAACCACACTGATAAATAAAAAAATCACAAATGTCAATAAGATTTTTTATAAAATTAGTGTGAAGTTACAAAGAAAATCGGTCCAAGATTGATTAATTTTATTAAATATAAAATAGCAGCAAAATTACAAATAAAATGTTAATAGTTAACTAAAGTACCCTGTAATTGGGCCTTCGGCCTGTTGGGTAACGTTTTTCAATAAAATAAAAAAATAAAAAATAAATAAAATAAAACTGTCTTCTTAAAAATAAACATTATCGTCTAATTCGTTTCCTGTAAAAAATAATTCCATTTATTCAAATGTAGTATTAAAATGAGTTAGTCATTTTTAGTCATTTCTATAAGATAATTTTTTACGAATATAAATAGCTGGATGTACCAATTTAGCAATTAGAAAATTCAGTTTCACAAAAACTTTGCTCTCACTGGTGATGTATATATAATAACAACCTTTTTGAAAAATAACAGAATTGGATAGATGTATTTAAAAATAACCGTCGAGTTTATGATGTTCTCAAATTTTTTTTGATAGAAATGATTTATGTAGGTAGTTTTCACGTAATTTGATAAAATGGAACTCCCTTATAATTAAATAAATATTATTTCACCGTTGAAATAATAGAGTATGAATATATTCCTGTATCCAACAAATTTGTCTGCGTATTTGCAGTTTGTATTGATAGTAAATTTTGTTAGTTGTATATGAGTATTTTAAGAACTGAACTTATGTGCAATCTAACTCTTTGAGTTTTAATTTGTATCTTAGATTATTGCTTATTACTTTATATGTTGCTATATATTTAATAAGAAGTTTTGTTTCGCCTATATTTGATGTTGCTAATCTAAGCTTTTTTTGTATTTTCTTTTCCACTTTGG